ATGGTAAGGCAGGATAGAACCTGGTGGGAAATCCAAACAGAGATACAGATGAAGAAGGCCCAAGTCTGGGGGATGCCAGTCAGCAGCCAAGGAAGCAAAACATATAGAAAATGAAGTAACACCACAGCCATATGCAATAGGCAGATTAAAAGAAATGGATTGATTTAAATGCAAGAGCTAGCTAATAATAAGCCTGAGCCTCTGGCCAAACATTTATAAGTAATATTAAGTCTCGGGAATTGGCAGGTGGGAGAGAAGCCTCTGTTACAATCTATTGCTTACACTTGAGTTAGATGTTGAGGTACTCTGTGGCTAGACAATCTATTGGGCCAGACTCAGAAAGAATGAACTATAGCAGAGGTTCAAGTGAGAGACACTGAAGATACTTGAAGAAGAGACAGGCATAATGACAACAATCCTCCAAGGAAAGTCGGTTCTCTGGGATTATGCTTTTAGTCTGCTTGGTCACACCACCTCTGGGAGTTTACTTTCTCCTTCTCATCTTTGATAGCCTGTTGATCTCAAAATTCAAATCATTCTGCAAACATTAAATTGAACCTTTTGTGGAGCAAGTGGTCTTAACTGCTGAGACATTTCACCAGTCCCACATCAACCCTCATGAGAGAAGATAATGGGTAGCCAAAACCTAACTGAAGATAGTTAATAAAGACCAGTTACAACTCTGTAACTTCAGACTCTTTCTATCGACTCTAATTGTTCCGTAAACTGAACAGGTTATCTCAGGACCAGGGAACTGGTCTTGATAGTTGTGATCTGAGCATTCAAAATGAGATTTGTAGAGATGTTTTGTCTTATGTTTTAACAAATAAAGCTTGTCTGAAGATCAGAGTGCAGAGCTAAGCCACTAGAGACCAGGGAGTGGTGGCACACACCTTTAATCCCAGAACTTGGGAGACAGAGGCAGAGGGGTCTCTGTTAGTTCAAGGCCACCCTGGGCTACACAAGATAGAATCTGTCTAAAAGAGAAACAGAACCCACACAAAGGTGATCCCAACACTAGGGAGGTGGAGACAGGAGTGATATGGTTGGGTGGAGAGAGGAATATAAGGTGGAAGGAGACAGTTGCAGTCTGAGGTGTGGTGGAGACAGTTGCAGTCTGAGGTGTAGTGGAGACAGTTGCAGTCTGAGGTGTGGTGGATACAGTTGCAGTCTGAGGTGTGGTGGATACAGTTGCAGTCTGAGGTTTGGTGAGACAGTTGCAGTCTGAGGTTTGGTGAGACAGTTGCAGTCTGAGGTTTG